TTAATCATTGGATTTCCAAAGAGTAAAYGAAATGCAACCCTGTGTCTGGAGTAACTATAATAACGAGAATATAAAAWTTTATTCATGAAAATAAAAGTAAAGATAAACAGTGAAAAATCTAAATGCGCCGAAATAATATCATAAAATAAAAACCAGCTCGAACTCGGCGGTCAAAACTACACACTTACATAATAAATAAATTTTATATGTTAAGTTGAACAGCGTAAATGTATAGCAACAGTATTTAAATGAAGAAAATTGACATATATACTACTGTGGGCAAAAAATAGTAAGCCCTTTTGCGCATAGTAGTACAAAATAACATTCAAAAATATATTCGAAATCAAAGACACCTTCATTTTCAACGTCACCGCCATTTAACTGCACTTGCCACACGAACTGCAAACAAGTTTCTCGGCGTAAAATGATAACTGCACAGTGAACGGATATGTTTCTGCTGCCATTTAATTGCATTAAGTAAAAAGTATTTATTTCAGAGTCCAACGCCGTTTTTTTGCAGTCACCGCAAAGCAAACAAAAAACCGCACGCGCAGCTTGCAACATTACACGCCGATTGCTTGTTGAACGCTGCAAGTGGACGCCGCCCCAACCACAGTGAAAAAGTGCCAACTACAACGACCGCAACAACAACAACGCTGAAAACTGCCATAAATGCCGCTGCAGTTAACCAACAACACAGAAATTCGACCCGCAGACCCAGATGAATGCCCCACTGAAAATGTTGTTGCACGCCAAAGGCATCACTATTTCGGCTGCTTTTAGTATATGGCTGCTGTGCTGTTGTTGTAAGTATAGCAAGTATTGCAACATGCAATTTAGCAATATTTTTTATTATTTTATAAATTTATATGTGTTTGTGTTTGTGTGTATGTAGTGGAGTACGTGTTTAGCGTGTTTAGCGAACGCGTGCTCATGCATTCCTTTGCTCTCCGCGACTCTCCAAAAACTACTTTGATGTGTTCAAAGCTGCTCTTTCAACTCTAGCTTTTTGTTGTAAGTTATCAAAATTTTTTTTAAATATCTCTCGYTGTAGTTCGTTGTGGAGCAAATAGAAAACCGGTTTTGCACCTATTGCGTTTGYGTTTCTGTCTTTTTCCACTTCGGACTTGTTGTTAGTCTTTGGCGATTTAAATTTTTTTTTCATGTTTTTTTATGACTCTTAGACTTTTGGCCGTTCAAAGTGCTGTGTCGTCATTGTGTCAAGGTCGTTTAGTTTACTTGATTRTTCCAGCTTGTTTTTTACTATTTGACGCTACTTATCTACTAACTAAGTGAGCGGCTCTAATGCTCTTCGTCTGTGGTGGTGCCGCACGAGCAGTTGAGCTGTGATTCCTCACGCTTGAGTTTATTAGCATAATTGGATTGTTTCGGCTGCGAAGTCATTAAACTCAGCATCTTCGATGTGCATTTGTTTTTTTTTTTTTTGGTTTGTTTTCAGCTTTGTTGGCTTGTATGAAATTGGCGGGTTCATTTTTGAATCATATAAACTCTGTAGAGATTTAGTCATGTTTCCGGATATTCTGAGATGACTTTAATTATAGATGTTCGCTACTACTGCATGCCAAAAGGATGCACCTCTTTCGAGATCACGCTCTATTAACTGGTTATTATYTAACTTTACTGAACTTCCGGAACGGTACGCCTACGTACTAAACCCTTAACTCTRGCTACKTTAGGACAAAGCCGGGCAAGAATGCCGCTTCACAAACTCCTTGCGGGATTATTCAGCTGCTCTTAAGATTCTYCGCTGCCGTTCTCTTATTCTCAGTTCTTGGATAGCTATTACGGCCCAATCTTTCATTTTTAYAACGTTGTCGGGTGTCATCCTTTGGTTTATTATTCGTTCGATGGTCTTCTCTCTACTATATATCTTGAACGGGATGTGGAGGAGTTTGGTTCCCACACTATATTGGAGCTGCTSCGCAATGATAAAACAGTGGGTACTGAAAAGCATTGGCAACAGCTCCTAGTCATGCGCCATGCCAATTTGCTAATGAGTGGTTACAACCTTAAAAGGTTTAAATATGTAATCAAACACCCAAGGAMAAAACTCTGACTACTTGTCGCCTTCTACRCTGGTCATTGWAARCTTAAGAAGTACTTATTCAACATGGGCCTAGCTTCTTGTGCAATTGCCATTTCTGCGTCTTGAAGACCACTTGCTAATCGACTGCATAGTAGTCTGCATGCGCTGGATAAAGGCGCTTGGATCCATGTTACCAAATACGGATTACATCGCCTCAATGGCACCGAGCACTATATGGAATTTATCAATTTGTTGGGGCTAGTTGAGACGTTGTGACTAAGGAGAGGGCACAATAGACCCTAGGTCGCGGTGCAATCCTCAATTACTTAACTAATGTAATCTAATCGTAGCCTTTAGATCTTTCAGCCATTTTCATCCTCCTTGTAACCCTAATTATAGTATAGTACAGCGCATTGCAGTAGCAAGGGCTTTCTATAAGTTCCAAACGAACCTTGATTTTTTATCTTTGATCTTTTGGCTTTAGTCAATTTCATTTCAAGTTAAWTTTTAACGTTATGTCAATACCAGACTTGTTTCATCAAGAGGCGTTGATAAGATAACATTTTTGTTGCTTGTTACTTACCTTGGTTGGTTTCAACACGAAGTAATGTATTTTTCGTTCGTTAAATAAGGAAACGATTTAAGACATCCGTCAATGGCTTATCTTACGAAAAGCAAATCCATAAAAATTCCAGCAACCCACAGGTAGGTGGGTCAAAAGCCAACAATTGAAGATAAAGCTCGAATACCACAGACTCTGACAAGAAAAAAGTAACGAATAGGTACATGAAAAAGTAAAACAGCTGAAAGACAAATGAAATGCGGTTAACACAATGGAAACAAGGCGCACATGCGCATTAACTCACCACCTGTGGCTASCTGTGGCTAAGTGCTTGGTTTTAAATTCACGATTATGGTCCACGTCAAAAACCAAACCAAGCCCAGTTTTAAGCATTACATAACGTTTCGGCGTATGACACTTTTTTGTTGCTTTTGTGTTTGAAGCTGCGTGTGAGGCGTAACTGAGGAATTACAAAAATTTCAACGGAATGTYGGCGTGGCCATCAACGGCATATTTGTGGGTCTTTTGTTGTTTTTAGATGTCACAATGCATGATTTAGACTCTCTTAATGAATTAGTAGGCAATTTGCTTAATAATTTTTGCATGAATATTGAAAATGATGAAGTGAGACATCCGTAGAAAAATAGATTAAAACTTATAATCGTAGAGCTCTTAACCTTTTTAACCTTTGAGATTTTTTTTTAAACATTTTTAAGATTTTTTAAACTTTTTCGAGCTTTTTTAAGCTTAAAGCTCTTTTCCTAAAACGTTGATTTTTTAAACCTTGCACTTTTTAAAGCTTTTTAAGCTTYAAGYTCTTTTYCTAAAACGTTGAAATGCGTAGAAAAATAGTTTTAAGCGCTTAAGCGTCAAGCTGCTAGCTGTTTTAACCGTTGAGCTTTTTTAAACTTTYTTAAGCTTTAAGCTCTTTTCCTAAAACTTTGATTTTTTAACAGTTGAKCTTTCTTAACCTTTTTTAAGCATTAAACTCTATTCCTAAAATGTTRATTTTAGCGGTATTTTTAGTATAATTATAATAATCTCCTCTTCATTGCAGTACCAAGCGCGGAAMCACTCGTTGTGCCACAGGAGCTACCCTCCATACTATCACTTATCTACTCCAATATTCCACCCATAAAAAAAGGTACGTAAACTTTAAACGATTGAATATTATTATTATTATGAAACCTTCCCACTAATGCCATTTACTCGCCGCTTAGGTACCGATTCTAGACTCGGCTTCGGCTTTCGGCTTGGCAATCATGCTGACTTCCAAGTTCTACTCGAACTGGGACCACAGAAGAACACACGTCCAATCGGTGAAGATGCCGATTCRGAGAACTCATTCAATAAGCGTCAAGTGAGCAAGGCACATCGCGCACATMTGCTGCGCAAACAAGCGCAGGAAGCTTTTAGACAAMTCGCCAGCAGCACAACGAGCWCAACAACAACAGAACGCACAGCCAATAGCTGGCTTGAGAGTTGGTCGAATGCCATGCATACAACAAACAATAACGCTGCCAGCACTGTCGGCATAGCAGCCAACAAAAAGAAATCAGCACCGAAACTCGCACAAAACAYGACGGGAAAGAAGCAACAGCAGTTGGAGAATTTCACGCAGCCGGMAGTYAACACGGCGGAGCAGTCAATGATGCAACTGCAAATGCTTTACCGTATGGCCACCACCAGCAGCACAACAACAACATCACCAAAAGATATCCAGCCAAGTACCGAGACGCCGATTATGGTTGTTACGCCGGAACCACAGTTACAGCGATTACGTCCAACCTTTGTACCATACAAAGGTGAGTCTTTGAACTTAGGCGGACCAGAGGGTTTCACGCCACGCCCACTTGAGGAATTGGCGCTGCAGACAATCGCAGAGCAGCCGAGTGAGCGCAAATCGAAAAGCGAAATAACCAAGGAGTTGATGGATGTSAGCCTCGAGCAGGGCGAGTAGCGTACCATTTATTCGAAATGAAGTAAAACTTTTGTAAATAAATTTTATGTAAAAAAATCGATTGTATATAAAAAAAAATTGTAATTTAGGAAGTTAGAGAAAAGTAAACTTTTGGAAAAAAACTAGTAGAAATAATTTGCCATTGTTGTTTGTGTTGCTAAGCAGTAGAGTTTTGTCTACTGGGTTGCTGCGAAACACCAAGTGGTAGCCGACTCCCTTTTGGTTTAGTTTTGGTAACCGAAAAGATAAATATACTTTTGGATATCACTTCTAAAACCTATCGAAATCATTGAGACAACCATTCAACTACCTAGTAATATACTTAGGAATAATATCTTTGCGCCTTAAAGTATGCTGTAATTTTACTTCAGTAAATTAAAAAAAAAAGCACACATACTACACCCTGCAAGCAAAGAATCCGTTAAATAGTAGGTTAACTACCGATTAGCGCTACCACAGATTTTTTATTGTTTAACGCCAAATTGACATAACTACCCGAAACTCTTATGTATGAGTGTTCGCCTGTCTCTTTCTCAACACMAAATAGGCAAAACTACCCGAAACTTTTGTGTATTATTGTTCGTTTTGACCTTCCTCAAGTATGTGCTAGTTCGAAATACTTTTAATATGTTGTAGCTGTCTCTTATACACATCTAGATGTGTATAAGAGACAGGCACTATATGGAATTTATCAATTTGATGGGGCTAGTTGAGACGTTGTGACTAAGGAGAGGGCACAATAGAC